AAATAATAAATTTATAAATATAAATTTATATGAAATTCATAATATAAATTAAAATTTAAAAAAAAAAGAAATTAAGTTAATAATTTAAAAAAATAATTTACTGAAAATAAATAAATTTTTGTAAAATAATTTACTGGAATGTTGAGTATATAATAATTTTTAACAGATATATTTTATTTAAAAATTGTGTATAGTATATAATAAAAAATAAAAATAAAAAAAAATTTCTAGGAACAGAATTTATTTATATAAATGGAAATAATAAAAAACACAAAAAAAAATGAATTACAAAATAATTTTTAGAAAAAAAAACTAGTACAATAAATCTGGAGAGAAAAAAGATCCAATAACCCAAAAAAACAAAAATTTTGAAAAAAAAAGGCTGGTGTCGCTATGGGGTATAGTGACACAATGTCGCTATAGCCCATAGCGACACCAGCCCTTTTTTTTTTCAAAATTTTTGTTTTTTTTTTCTACCTAAAGTCGTTATGGGCTATAGCGACAAAAAGTCGCTATGGCCCATAACGACAGCAGCCCTTTTTTTTTTAGTTTTTCGTTTTTTTTCTACCTAAGTTGTTTTTTTTCAAAATTTTTGTATTTTTTGGTTATTGAGTCATTTTTTTCTCCAGATTTATTCTACTAGTTTTTTTTAAAATTTATTTTGTAATTCATTTTTTTTTGCGTTTTTCTACATTTTTTCCCTTCACTTATTTTTGACTCAGTTTTTTTTTAAATTTACATATAAAAATATTATTAATACACTTAAACAATAAATTTTCTCTAAACTACATAATTAATTATTTTTAATTAAATTTATTAACAAATTACTGAATATATATTTTTAATTATATTAAACAAAATACTGAAAATATAAATTTAATTAAATTTGTTTATTTCTGTACTTATTTAAGTAAAAATGTAAAAATTAAGTTTTTAAAATGAAATGTTAATATTTAAAAAATAAATAATATACAAAAATGGTGTCGCTGCCCATAGCGACACCAGTTTTAATTTTTTATTTTTTTTAGTTACGTATTTTTGGCATAGTATTTTTAAATTAACATATAAAAAAAATTATTAATACACTTAAAAAATAAAAAGAAATAAAATTACCTGAACCATAAATATATAAAATACAATTTATATTAAACAGTTTTAAATTTATATAAAATATTTATAAAAAATAAAAGTAAAACAAGAATGGTGTCGCTGCTCATAGAGACACCAGTTTTAATTTTTTTTTAATTACATATTTTTGGTTTACTGTTTTTTAAATTATTTAATTTTTGTGCTTTTATTTAAAAATATAAAAACAAAAATTTTAAAATAAAACGTGATTATTTATAAAAAAAAATATACTAAATGGTTGGCACTATGGCCCATAGCGACACCAAGTCGCTATGGCCCATAGCGCCTCTCTTAAAAAATTCATATAATTTAATTTAAAATTATATTTTTAAAAAACTTAATTTTATTTTTCTAAATATATAATAAATATTTCAGTTTATTATTTTTATTTTACATTTTTATTATTTTCATTTTTTTTTGTTTTTTTTCTTAGACAGTGTCGCTATGGGCTACATTATTTTTGTTAGTCAATGAAGTGTGCTGGCTCAGCCTATAGCGACACCGGTGTGGCTCATTCCAGCCAAACCTAAACAAAAAAAAAGGCCACGTGTCATGGGTGTCGCTATGGCCCATAGCGACACCGTTGTAAACAGTCCCAAAGGTGTAATTAGTTACAAAACAACCTCATTTGCATAATATGTTTCTAAAACAACCCCACTATGGTCAAAAAGCCGGAACCTAATTACATAACTACTATTGAAATCCTAGTTACAAATCTACTTCAAAAGAGGCACCTCCCAAGCAAATTGAGAAACCTACCGCCGTTGCTAGCATACATCACATCTTCCTCAATAACTACCTCCTTCCAAATATGACGTTCTTATCTTCCTTTTCTCCACTACTATCACCTTGACAACATGCAATGTTGACATCAACTCCTTTGCGTCAAGTCTGTGCTCGATGTAGATAAGAAGTTATCCGTTTTTATTCTTTTTTTTTTCTTTCTCTTTCAGGCAAATTGACAATCCTAGCTTGTCGTTGTCACATTCCACCTCTTTCTCAATGACTACCTCCTCCACAATATGAGGTCCCTATCCTCCTCTTCTTCACACCTTCACCTCACTCAATTGTGACGTTAACATCAACTTCTTTTTGTCAAAATCGTGTCCGATAAGGATAAGTGGTCATCCATTTATATTCTATTATTTTCTTTCTCTTTCAATTTTATAAATGACTTATTCCTAAATTTTTTCTTAACTGATTATACTAAATAAAAGTCTATTTTAAAATATAATTTATATTTGTAAAAATATATTTATTTTAAACTTTAGTTATAGTATATTTAAATATTAAAAAATATTATGTTTTGTGGTGATTAAGATTTTTGCCAAAAATGTAATATGCTTTGACGGTTTATTGAAATTGCGAGAAATAAACCATCAATAATTGTAAAAAAAAATTGTTGTGAATTAAAATTACTCTAATTAAATCTAATTTTTTTTAAGTATTATGACAAAATTTAACAAATGAATTTATAATATATAATTTTAACTGCAAAATAATACGCTTACACATTATTATCATATTCTTAGCCACATCATATATTTCGATGGTGTGTCATTTTGTTCTCACAATTCACGTCTCTTTTCATTAACCTTTCCCATTTGTAACTCTCATTTATACAATTAGTGTGAT